GTGGTAGGGGGTCAGCTATAGGCATGAGGGAGCAAAGGATGGGGGCAGGCACAGGCAATTGATCAAGGGATTAGGGGCAGGTATCAATGAGGGCAGGGGACAAGTGGCAGGAGGGGAGGTCTGTCTACCTGCTTCCCCTCACTTCTTTCTCCACTGCAGTGGGGGGTACATTTAAGATGAGCCTGCAATAGTTCGGGCTATTATTAATAGGGTCAGATTGTTAGAGGGTCATCTTAAATTCAAAGTCATCTTGGATTTGGGTAAATATAGTACCATACATCTAAGTTTTTCAAAAGCAATTTCTGATTTTGAAAACCCGGTTTTGATTTTCAGGGATAATGAACATTTGCAGTGTCAGCTGAAATTAAAAGGCTGCATGTAGCAATTGGTGTGGCGCATACCATAGCAGCATGCACTGGCAGTCACAGAGGCTTGGTCCTCCAGAGAGATGCTCTGCCTGCCAGCCAAAGTGTCTCCCCTCCTTTAGTTCTGCCCCAGCTCCTCCAGCATGCCAGGAGTCAGAAGAAGCAGGGAAAGAACAGTATGCTTGAAGTGGGGCTTTTAGCCCCTCACCAAAGCACACATGCAGGAGCACGTGCAGCAGCAAAAAGTAGAAGCACAGATTTAGCTGCTACTATTTTTGCCAGTGCAAGTGCACGCCCCTGCATGTGGAGATGTGCCCAGGGTATTTAATTAGATCTGGGAGAGAAAAGCAGAAGCTGGCAGAACACTTGTGAAGTAGAGAGAGAAAACACCTCTGTCTTAATTGAAAGAGCAAGGAAGGGAAGGAGGGAGTTATCTCAGAAGCTTTATATATGGTAAATATTAATTCATTGTCAGTGAGGCAGCCCCTGAAATTTTGGAGATGTTGCCCATCACTTGTATTCACCCTATGCAGAGTAATAATTTATTATTTGCAACCATGTAAAGTCATGAGGGCTGAATGTTTCTGATGTGCACTACTGTGTGTGTTCACTGTCTCTAAGTTTTTATTTGCTGCTCAACAGCAAAGTGCTTATATTGAAGTTGGGTTACCTGGCCTAAAAGGATTAAAGATGAATAGAATGTTTGTTCTGCTTGAGAGTAACTTAGTTTTTCTCAACAAGTGTAAGCAGAGGGAGCTGAGAATTTATTTAGTTTCCTTTTCTGTTGACTTTCTGCTCTACAAATTATGAAATGCAAAGAATCTGAAAGCAAACTTTAATCGCAGGGCCAGCGCCAGATGTTCAGAGGATTACGTAGCAGTCTTACATAAATGCCAGGAGTACAGACACCAAAAGCCAGGTCCTTAGCCTATGTGTATAAAGATGTGTACATTAATGTCAGTGGAGTCACACTCATTAACTCTTGCTAATGATCTTGTCCCACAGGTATTTTGCCATATTTAACAAAGCCTCTCTCCTGCTATGTTCCCTTCTCAGGCAGGATGCCACGACAGTGCTGGGTTAGAGGCAATTTGGAAAAGTCTCTTGCTCAAATGTTATTGTTGTACTACCAAACTGAGGGAGGGCAGGAGGAGGGGGAGTGAGGAGAAACAGACCTGAATCAAACTCACAAGCAGTAAGGATTAGACCTCTAGTCTTCCATTCCAGAAATAAAGGACTTTACCACCACCCACAAAGAAGCTCTTACTAACAGTATACCCATTTTTCTATACCCCGCTGCAGGACTGCCACTAGATTACATCACACGTGTGGAATAGGTTAAAAACAGTTCAAATTGGCTGACCCTCCTGGACATCAATTTATGAGGAATGCTAAAGATATAAAATGAGTGTTTAGCTATGTCATGAAACCCAGTCAGTCCAGCTTTGAGCTTAAAAACACACCAATAAAAATGTATGAGCTTTTTGTGGTATCCAAATGGTGAAAATTAATGTAGTATCTGATTTTCACATGAATAAGTTATTTTAGAGGAACTATTATACTCTGGAGCAAATGGGAAAAGTGGCATGTTTAGAGAATTTTAAATTTTGCAGCTAAGAATTAATTTCACAGTGTTAATACTGATACAGGTAATGGGGGCAACATTTGTTTTCCCATCTTGAATTAGGTGGAGTAGAATTTCCTGTTAAGAAGCTGGAACTATGAGAATGTTGGGTCAAAAGACAAGAGCCTAAACTTTCTGAACTCTTAACTGTGAGAATAAGACACTGCAATTCTGGAGGAAAAGTTCTCTGCTGTTTGGAAAGTAACCTGGCTGCTGTAAAGCACACTGGGACATTTTGGGGCTGTGAAGTTGTGTTTTTGTTTTAATTTATAAGGTTCAAAATAAGTTATTAAATATGTTATTTTAATAACTTACATCTTGAGTGTATCTCATCATTCCAGGCAGATCTTTCCTCTTCACAGAATGCAGTATATGAAAACGCCGTTATGGATCTCCACAGAAAAGATCAAATGGGCTTTGGGTCTTCCATTAAGATGCTACCAGAAAGCACAAGACTAATCTGGCAGATTGTACAGTACTAATGTTGCTTACTGGCATAAAATCATCAGCTTCAGGGGCTTAACAAATATGATGTAATGGACCATTCCCACATCAGCAGATCATCATGTGAATTCCATACATTTACTGGTAAGCAGTTAACCATGTGAGTGAAATTTCAATAGATGGTAGTATGCATGATATTGTGGCTGTGATTGTCCAGAAATTACATCAGAGGCAAGAATTTCTTAGGCTGGTATCTTTTATTGGAACAACTATGTAGTTGGGATAGTTAGGTAAGCTTTCAAATGGAAGAGATTCATGGGGTAACTGAGTGTGGGGGTTCACAATCTTGTATTTTGTAATCAGGAGCATCTGTCTCTCTCATTTGCTGAACCAAATTTGTAACTGGACTGAAATAAATATACAAGGAGAACGTATCACAGTATTCATCAAGATCTAATCAGTGGTAGTGTTGACTAAGCACTCTAGTACCTACTCCTCAGCCAATTTTATGCTTTGTGTTAATTCAAGAAACACTGATAAACACAATCAGTGCCAAGAGTCAGCAGAGACTAGACCCCAGCAGAACTTTGTTCTTTTTCCTCTAGTCTCCTCAGCTAGGGACAGACATTCAAAAGGCCTGAGCCTGAATTGATTCGCTCTTCGCAGATTAGTCTAAGCTGCACAGCTTAAACTGATTAATAACTGGACAGACATTCTCTGTTAAATCAGGAAATGCAAGTACGTGGCTGCAGTGGCTCAAGCCGGAAGCTGGAGGGCACTATAGCATGTCTGCCAGCCACTGCCAAAGGGGAAGGAAAAGAAACACCCTCCAAGGCTCTCACTCACCCTTCCCTGCTGGAGTGGAGGGGGCATGGCCAGGTATCGGCAGGGGCTAGTAAGACACACAGTTTGCCAGCCACCGGAGGGTGCGGGGGGAAGCTGCTGCCAGACTGAGGAGTGGGACGGGAAAAAAGTACTTTCTCTGAAGCAAGCATGTATTGAACACAGCAGTTTGCAAAGCATACAACAGGGAACTACCAACCATCTTCGCCTAGGCTAAGATACAGCCCAGTAAAACACAGCATACACAACTTAGTCAAACTTAAAATATAAAGCAGGAAGACAAGAGAAAGCCTTGCTTAAGTCTTACTAATCCTGAGGGCAGACATTCAGAAAGGCTTTGTTTAGGTTTTACAGGTTCTGCTTTATAATGTAAATGTAGGTCTCTGCATTCTTTGGTCTGCAACTTTCAGCCAGAAACTGTCTTCAGCTTCCCTTAACTCCATCTCCAGCACATACATATGATGATTGTCAGGTCTTTGCCAGCACTTCCCACCTCTCAGTCTCATCCTGCAGGTCTTCATAGTAGTTTCATAGTTTCTAGGGTCGGAAGGGACCTGAGTAGATCATCTAGTCTGACCCCCTGCCATGGCAGGAAAAATTACTGGGGTCAAATGACCCCAGCAAGGTGTTCATCTAACCTCCTCTTAAAGACCCCCAGGGTAGGGGCCAGCACCACTTCTCTTGGA